TAACGAGACACGTAGGTTGATATTTGACGGAAAGACCAAATCGGGGTAAAAATGGTAAACAATAGGGACTAAATTAGGGATTTTTTTAGTTCAGGGACCAAATCGGGGGTTCGTACAATAGTTCAGGGACCAAAAAAGGGTTTTAACCTAATATTTTTCATCTCCATGACTATTGTGCATTTCAAATTTCGAATATTAATTTGAGTTATTTTGCTTAGAACTTGCCACCTAGATAAAGCTCATGGGTTCAATATTGTAGGGACAACTGAGAGATGGAGAAGATGAAAAAGAAAATCAAGAATTGAACCTCCTTCCCCCATGGTTTTCTAGAGCTTATCAATGTGTCTTTATGTGGGTGGGACTTCATCCAATTGACCAATCTATTCTTTGCACTACATAGTGCTTGAAACAACACTTAAAAGAGATTCCTTAAAAGAGATGCCCTAATGCACTTATGATAAAATAATATTTCTACGTAACCAAAAGTAACTAGAAAGGCAATATATATGTCAAAACAAATATGTAATTAACTACAACATAAAAAATAATATTATTAATTTATTAGTTAACATCAATATACATCATGTCATTTAGTCACTTTCATTCTCTGATATATCATTACTGTTTTCTTCTTCTGATGTCTCATAGAAGTCAAACTCAACCTCTTCATCATCACTATCATTCTCCTCAATCTCATTATTTTGATCTTTAACAATATCTACAGGTGTCCTATCAGTATGCACAATGGGTTCAAATGTGAGGACATCAACATTGGTGGGTTGAGGTATGGGTGGGTCATTGTCCTAGAAAAAGCCTAATCTTGTTCCATTAAAAGCTCTAATGGCATGTCAATGTAACTCTTTGCCTTGGTCTTAATCACTGCCCACCATCCCTTTTTTTGAGAGTTCATTTATGGGTACTGAGTGTAATACACTTGTTGGACTTGACTAGCAAGGATGAAAGGCTCATATGTTCTCAATTTGGACTTTGGGTTAATGTCCACTGGATGGTGATTTTGGTCAACCACAACTCCTCGACCTAGGTGATTTCATACCAATCACACTTAAATAAAACAACCCTTTGTTTTGTGCTTTGAACCTAAATACTCAAGCTCTATCACTTCTTCCAACATTCTATAGTAATCTAATTTACCATCAGTGACACACACACCACTATTCATTGTCTTTTTGGTCTATCCATACTTGGTAGTGTGGAATCGATGACCATTCATAATGTAACCTTGGTAGCGTGACACTTGATCAATAGGTCCTATGGCCAACCCAATTAAGTGATCATCTACTTCAAATTTGCCACTTAGAACCTACATAAAAAATATATGATTGTTAGTATAGGTAAACACTTTGAAATTTGAAAACATTATTTAAAGATTTGGAGGGAGTCTTATTGACTTCTTAAACCATGAAACTAAATATTTTGAATGCTTTTCTCGGATTTGTTGGGGTGTTATGTTGTGACAATCTTGTGCCTTAAATAACCTACAATAGAAGGTTATTAGGGCCAATCTATAAGTCTTAGCAAGATGATTTTCATATGGATATTGTTACATACTCAACCCATTCCCTGATCTCTTTGCAATTCATTAAAACATAAAGTGTAGCAACCCTGTACTCCTCTTGGGTTAAGTATCAATAAGGGAGTTGGACTTAAATTGGTTCACCAAGGGAATTGAAGATTAATAGTCCATCAACATCTATATCACTCCCTCTATTAACCGCATTCCTTGATAAACGGCTAGCTTGAGTGTCCACCTCTCCATCAAAGTAATGTGAGCAAAATTGAGTGATCTCAAACATAATGTAATTCCCACATATAAACCCTTCCATTCATGCTTTATTCCCCACGATTAACTTCAAATCATGCATCCATCTATATATATTACGTACAATTATTTGTGTGAAGAATGAAATGTGAATTAAGTATAGAAGTGGTTGCAATTACCGCTCATGTGGATACATCCAATGAAATTGAACTGGTCCTCCCACTTGTGCCTCATATGGCAAATGCACTACTAAGTTCTTCATCGATTCAAAAAATGTAGGTGGGAATATCCTTTCAAGTTTGCACATAGTTTCCATAGTTTTTTCATCCTAAACCTTCATATCTTTGACCTGAATCACTGACCCACACAATGCCCGAAAAAAGTCACTAACTTCAACAAGTGGCTCCTATTTGTATTGGGCAATAAATCACGAAATGCAAGTGGCAAGAGCCTCTGCATGAATACATGACAATAGTGATTGTTCAACCCTTGTAATCGAGCTTCCTACATGTTCACTCAACTTGAAATGTTTGATGCATAACCGTTAGGCAATTTCAAGTCCTTCAACCACACACATACTGACTTTCTCTGATGCTCACTAAGAACACAAGTGGCTTTTGGCTTCCTACCCTCTTCGATTATCCGTAATCCCTTCCTTTTGCAATATTCTTTTATGTCCATTCTTGCCTTAACATTATCTTTCATTTTACTCAGGTCATCCATGATTGTATTAAGGATGTTATCAAAAAAAGTTCTTCTCACAATGCATAACATCTAAGTTGTGTCAAATTAAGTTTGTTTTCCAATATGGGAGCTCCCAGGAAATGCTTTTTTTCACCCAATTATGTAGTCACCAAAACCATGAATGTTTTTCTTCTTATCTGGCTTTCCAAATTGAATGTCTGAAAAATAACGAATTAGCCCCCCCAACCTATTCACCAGACAACCTAGGCCACTAGCCAAGTTTTTCGACACAATTCTTAAAGAAGTCATTCTTGTTTGATCTAAATAGATGATTGGTTGGTAAGAACTGCTGATGACAATCAAAGAATGATATTTTCTTGCCATTTTGAAGGTAGAAAGCCCTAGTGTTTTCTATACACTATAGATATGACAACTTCCCATGAGTGCTCCATCCTAACAAAATACCATACTCAAGGTAGTCACTGATCGTCCACATAAAGGCTACCCTTATATTAAAGTTTTGATGCCTAAAGCTATCATAAGTTCTAACACAAGGCACCCATGGTTGCTTAAGCTCATCAATGAGTGGCTGCAACATCACATCAATGTTCTTTCTTGGAGTTTAAGGGCTAAAAATAATCAAACTCAAGAATATGTACTCTAGTTTCATACAAATGGATGAAGGGAGGTTATAAATGGTAACAAAAACTGGCTAACATGAATATGGTGATGTAGATTGTCCAAAAGGAGAGAACCCATCTGTGCATAAGCCAAGCCTCACATTCTTAGGCTTAGAAGCAAAATCTGGATAGGTACGATCAAAGTCTTGCCACGCCATTGCCTCGGCAGGATGAACAATCTTTTCATTCTTATCATGACACCTAACATGCCATATCATGTGTTCTATAGTTTTTCCATGAAGAGTCTCTGGAGTCTAGGCATAATCAGGGGATGCCATAACGACTTCCTTGGTATGTCCCTTTGTGGCTTATTAGATGGGTGCTTCCTCTATTTGTAATGTGGCTCATGACAAATTAGGCACTGACAACTTAACACCGTAGTACCCTCATCACATCCATCAAAAAATGGTGTTGTAGCGGCTTGCAAGAGATTAAAAAACTCCTTTACCTCTCCACTTGGCTACTCACATACTTGCTTTGCACCGCCTATTTCCATTTCACCAATTTTATTCATTCCACGTACATCACCAAATATATCCATACTTTCATGCCATTGTGAATCCATTGCATCAATGACCATTTCTCCATATGGATCATCGAATGAAAAGGATCATGATTGACCCATATCATAACGTCTTCATTTTGCACCAGATTCTCCATGGTAACTCCAAACAAGATACTCGTTAATGAAACCATTAACATAAAGATGCATACCAACAGTGCTGCGTGTATGCCAATCTATATTTTTACAAAGCATACACGGACACCAAATCATTTTGTGACAACAAATCTCTGGGTCTTGTTGTGAAAATGCAAATTCGAGGAATACATCAACACCCACTTTAAATTCCTTAGTGAATAAACCCTTGTCATCTCGTTGATGATACATCCAACTTCAATTGTTGGACATATCTAATGTTTCCTTTATAAAATTGCAAAGAACATTTCTAGACATTAGTAATCCCCTATTTACTAATCAACATATAAATTAAATATGATATTAACCATTTATCATAAAGGAGAAATTATATTATTGAACATTACTTTCTTTTATATTAAAGCATGTTACTTGTTAAATACAAGTCATTATTGAGTAAATAATCTATTAATTGACAAATTTAGCTTAATCAACTATTAGTATCTTTTTTAAAACTTATTATTTGCACTTTAATGATTAAATCGCAATTTGTTATTCAACAACTTTTTATTTGTGAAAACCAAATTTCATGCAAAATTAAATAAAAAGAATTAATTATGTAATTGTATTATTACCTTAATAATGTCTTCCAATTTTATAGCTATCAAGAACAAAATGATAATCCCATCTCTAATATAGAAACATGGCCAATAGATTTGGGTATAAGAGAAAACATTTTATTTGTATTAGAGATTTGGATCATAAGACTGCATGAATGTTTGGGTTAAGAACAACAAAACGACAACTTTTTTTCATCAAAATATCTTGAAACACTAAGCAAGGCAAAATGCACTAGCTATTTAAAAGAATAAATTGAAAATTAACTTCTGATTTTCAACAATTAATGCAAACCCAACTAACCATGAAAATAAGATGTCACGCCCCAGAACTCGAATCCGAGGTGCGACAAACGTCGTGCACTCGTGAGATGGTCCCACCAATGCACAAGACTCAAAACTTATCCAATTCACATCTGACAATCCAATAACTTAAATCAGATATTTCAAAATAATTCTATGTCCAACATGACTTAAGCTCAAAATCTCAAGGTCAAATCTCTTGTAAACTAATAATCCATTAAATGAATTTATAAAATCTCCAATTAAAATCTAGTTTACAAGATCATGATCTATATCTAAAATTTCATATCCAATTACAATATGGCTAGCCTTCTAACTCGTCACTTCCCGTGGTTTCCCTGTCTTCAGTTTCGCTTCCTGAAATGGTGGACAAGGAAAAACTATGAGATAAATTCAGTAAGTAAATATGGATAGCCCTTAATTAAACTTATAGCATGCTAACAAGTATAATCACGAAAAATAGATACAGTACGAGAATGAAATAGACGTCTCCTCTATAGGTCATGACCAATGTTATAAACCTCTCACTGACAGGCACACGATTTACTAGTGTATAATCCCACTAGCAGGATAACAGAAACGAACCAGTTCTATCAGTAACATGTCGATATGTGCTAGCGTTTATAAACCTCCCACTAGCGGGCACACGAATAACATGATCATATCGGAGACAAAACCACGCAAGATTTACAGAAAATCATACTTTACAAATAATTTCCAGATCATCAGGGCAGTTAAATAAACTCCAAGCAGGCATGCTCAAATCAATAAAAAGAAAAATAGTCTTATTTCAAATCAATCATGCTCACTTTTGTATAAAACAGGTTTAGTCCTGCCACCACTTTAAAGACAAGTTAAAATATACTTTTAAAGTCGAAGGGCGTTACCATAATTTACTTACCTCAAATCCGGAACTCAAGCCAAGTACTCGGGTGACAGAACACTCAAGAACCTAATCAAAATATTCCAAAATTAATACCGCACTACCACAAATTCGAAGTGAAATCATCATTAGGACTACCCCTAATCACGATGCTATTTTTATCAATCTCCACATGATCGGACATCTACAAATTTGTTCTTATATTACAACTAATCATTTAATCCCCGTTAATTGTTGGTCGTTAGTGCATGAACAGTACCCGTAAACAGTAATTACGCAATGAACAATACTGCAACTTCCAAAAATTGGCAAAACCATAGCTAATCTCATAGGATTTTCCTCTAAAATGTCATAGCAACTAATTAACTAATTTTCTACATGAATTAAGCTAAATCATGGTCTAATTACTGTCAAATTTCTCCCCTATTTCCAGCAGATTTTCGCACAACACAGGGCAACTAAATGGACAACAATTTATTGATAAATTCAGACTTGAGAGGGCTGTCCATACCAGAATTTCCCAGCAGCCAACACCGGAGCTAGCAAGTAGGGAGGCCAACGGCAATCTGCAGGGGGAAACTCACGGCTACCAGAAATTGGAAGGAAATAAAAGCAATTAAAGTAAACCCAGCCTAAATCAAGGTTAAAGAGATGATTTCTTGGCTGAATCTTACCAGAGAAATGACCAGAAATTCGCACAAGCTGCAACTCGCGGACGGCAGAGGGAGGAAGACGCAGAGCAGATCTGGAATTTCTGGGTTGAGAGAGAGAGTTCTAAGTCCTAAAACTTGTTATTAAGCAAGAAAGAAGGAGAAATTTCAAGCTTTTCACAAATTTTCTCAAGGGATGGTGCTGTCGGGCTTGCTTCTTGTTCGGCTGCAGGGGGGAGAAAAAGAAGAGCAGACGCGCGGGTGAGGAAGAAGAAAGAAGGAAAAAAAAAATAGCTGATCCTTATCGAATTCATTTTCTCTTTTAAGTCCCTCAAGTTTCAAAATTTTCACTATCAAGTCCCAGAATAATATTTCCTCACAATCAAGTCCTTAACTAAGTGCTAAAATATCACAAAACTTTGGGATATTACATAAGAAATGACAATGGTGAAAAAGAAAAAAAAAAAGAAAAAAAGATGGACATTCAATGGTCTTATTGCATAAATTTTGAACTTTAACAGTAGATAAATTTACATAAAGATGACACATTATAGTCTTTAAAATAAATGGCAATGAAGATATTTAATATATAATTTATCTAGTTTGATTTCATTATATCTCCTTTATAAAAAATAAAAATACAAGAAAAAAAAGCATAGTACATATACAACACAAACACAAGCACAAACACACGTAGGATGAGGGAAAACCTTGTCTTTGCTTGTACATTTCTTTATTTTATATTGCCTTTTTCTTTCTATTAATAAATCTCTAAAATTATTTATTTCTTTATTCTTTCTTATTAACTAGTGGATCATGTGGTACCAATACAATAACCTTTGAGAATACTTTTTCATCAATACCAAAACACTATCCATCAAAATAAAAGTTACAAGCCAGCTCTAGTGAAGAAAAACTCATATAAATGAAGTCAAAAGTCATAGACAAAACTGACAAAGTTAACAAAACCAACAAATCCAATCTATATGACCAAAAAACACACAACCCATCTTAAGATCAAACCCAACAAATAAACCCCATCTATGTGAAGAAAATCTCACATAGATAACATGGAAAGTTATAAACAAAACTCACAAAACTCACAAAACTAACAAAACCAACGAAACCAATCTACATGGCCAAAAAAACCAAAATCCATCCTAAAATCAAACCAAGCAAACCAAAAGCTAAAAGTACTAGAGAATTGAACAAGATTACCTAAAAGTCAAAGAAAGGAGCAAGCTTTGATCTTATTTATGCTACGAATAGTTTGATGGGCTAGGAGGCAAAACGACGGTGCTAATTGGGGTTGCTAAGCCAAAACAAAATTCAACAAATTAAAAAAAAAAAAAAAAAGGGCGAAAAATATACAAGCAGGCTGAAACCTTATTGAACTTACCTTTTACGGTGACCAAACGGCAAGAATTGACCCAAAAAAAGAGTCGGCAACTTGGGGCATGATGGAGATGGCTGAAATTGTGAGAGCCGAAATAAAGATTAGGAAGGAAATGGGGGTTT